TGCACTCTCTGCCAGTCACCTATGGGCTCCAAATCCATACCTAATGTAATTGCATGAAAACTAAGTTACACCTGAGAACAATTTTTCCTTGGATGTTTCCCACAAGTTTGGTAGCAAGAATTATATGGTCACTTCTATTATAATTGTGTGTTTACATGTGTTCTTCTCTGTACTTTTTGAATGCAATAAATAGATCTTGTCATGAATCTAAATATCTAAAGTGCTTGAGCAAGTAAGAGGGCTAGAGTACAACAGAGGTTTGGAAGGGCTTCTTGGTTTTTCATTGTTTAGGGTTAAGAGTGTAGTGCCATATACATATGGACCCCATTGAAGTTCAGCAATTTAAAGCAGACCTGTAGCTAGTGGCCTCAGGGCTACATGCAGCCTCTGAGTGGTTAACAGCTGGCCCATGGTCTCCTGCCCAGTTGCTGCTCCTCCCACCACTCTTGCTGCTGCTGTTGACAGGGTCTCCAAGCTCCCCCTCTGTCTTTCAGCTTCTACTTCCTATCCCTCATCTGCTCATAAGGAGTGAGGCAGCATGGATCACTGAGGTCCAGGGAGCCCGTGGTCCCAGTCATACTGTTGGTGCTACCCACACAGCAGCAAGGAAAGCCTATGCTTCCTCTGCAGCTGTGGAGAGTGAGAGGAGGGACAGAGGGAACACACTGCCCACAAGGAGTTGGGCAGTTCAAAAGCTGTACAGCCCTGCATTCTGTTATACGATTACAGTCACTTCCCATATCTGTTATTTTAGATATCACCATATATTACCCCCACTTTGATTGCCTGATGTTGACCTGTATGTAGATGGCTGATGTGTAATACCCATACCAAGATACACCCTAATGAGTAAGCAGCCATGGGATTCTGCCTATGTAAGAGATCAGGGATTTTACAGCATGCTTCCCTATACATTCTTTCCTGTGTCCACACAATGAAGATGTAATTCCATCAGGACTTTAACAACTTCCAGCCCTCCATCAACTGACTCTTGAGTATTTCACCCAACAAATTCATTTCATGGACTTCACTATGAAACTTGGTAATAGTCACATTACTGCCATACCTTATCAGAAACCAACTGACCATTACATCTACCTCCTCTCAAACAGCTTTGATCCTAAGATCACCACTAGATTTACTGTCTACATCCAATCTGTTACAACCACACCGCTCCAATTCCATTAAGCTACATACCTCAGGGATCTAGAAAAGGGTTTCCTACACTTAAAATACAAACCCCAAAGCAAGACTCAGATCCTGCTCCAACCTGCTTGCAATACCAATCCTGTGACAATGACAATAGAATCCTTCTGGTCATAACTTACAGCCCCAAGCTTGAACACATCTGACACATCAGTAATGAACTTGAATCCCTCCTGGTACATGACAACCATGTCCTGGCTCCCCAACCTCAAACAATATATTTCCAGCAAGAGACTACATATCTCCAATTTTCACCAAGCTACCAGGCCTTGTTGCAGACCCATAAGCCTGCTGTGCTCCTTCATCAACACATATATCATAACTGGTCCAAACAAAACAAAGTATAACACTGCGGGTTCATTCACCTGCTCCTCCACCAATGTCATATACACCATCACCTTCTTACAGTGCTTTTCTGCTGTCTCCATTGGCCAGATGGGGCAATCCCTACATGAAAGAATGCATGGACATTAATTCAATGTCAATTCCAGAAATCCACAATACCCCACGGCAGCATGTTTCAACTTCCCTGCCCACTGACCTCAGAATAGCTGTAACTTTAAAAAACAACTTGAACATGAAATTGTGGAACAAGGAATCATCCACAGACTGGATTGTGTTAACTATGAGCTCAACAGGGACTATGGATTCTTACTGCATTACCTAGGCTAGCTGTTAACTCCAGGGTCCTTCACGCTGCTAACTACCTTGTTCATTTCAGCTGAACTAACTAACCCACTTTTTACTTCTTAGCAGTGTCCCTGCCCCTGTTTCTGTATAATACCTACCTTCTACCAGTCTATTCATGAGCTGTGAAAGTTCATGCCTCTAAGAGCTGGTCAGTCTCTAAAGTAACACCCTGTCCTAGCTTCTGCCTGACTATAGACGAACACAGCTAACACCCTTCTGTAACAAATTTATGACTGTCACACAGACTAGTGGAGAAGTTACTGCTGGATCTTGCATGCAGCTACTTCGACTCAGGAGGTCAAAAACATCCAAAGGCAGGATTAGCATAATATCCGAGTACTTTATTAAGTGGCTCTAAATTCATACTGAAACTCTTTGGGACAAGGACAACCTTTCATGTGTTTTTACAACTTCTAGCACAACTGTGTCATGACTACAGGCCCTGGGCACTACTGCTATGCAGTAACAGTGGAAGACAGAATTTAGGATTACCTCATTTGACACAGGAGAACCACATCAGTCCTGATAGCAAAACCTCAGACTGCAGCCAGTTTACCCAACCCCAGGGAAGATCACCCCAATGAAAAGGCAACATATTGATTCTCACACCTTAACACTTGGAGGATTACCAGTTAGACAGCCTTGTGTCAAGCTAAAGATGAAAATGAAAAAACCCTTGAAAATATATAGCAAAACAAATCAGTTCTACTGGAAAGACTGCTGACAAGAGTTCAATAAAAAAAAATAAAGTTGACATTGGAAAATAAATTAAACTGACGACATATTTGTATTTAATAACTGGGTTCTCTCAACTTTATATTTAAAATAAAGAACTTACATTGCTCCGCACAAAAAAAAGAAAGGCAACACCTTTTTAATTTTTAACACAAGAGGCAAGGAAGAAAAACAAAAACCTTTAGTACTTTTCTTGGAGATATTATAGATAAAAGTCAATCAGAAGAAATAAATGCAGAATTTAATAAGCACTTGAATATAAACAAAAAATTGGATAAGTGCAATATATAAACAAACCTTCTTGTGAACTTGATGTAATATGGTGGATTAACATTCTGACAGTCTGTAAATCACCTACCTACAAAACAAGAACAACTGAGCCCATAACTGGTTCAGAGTAGATGTGCATTAGTTTAATTTCTTCATAATATATTTTAGTAAAATTAGGAGAAATCCAACAGGACCCAAAGCTTGCATTTCCCACTTTATTACTAAATTAGCTCTGAATATTACATTCAGAGAAGAGCATGGACCAAAACCCTTGTTTTTTTTATTGCTTCTGTTGTACTTCTGGTGAAGAGCTTTCTGTAGATGGCAGCTGGAATTTCATTTAGGTGGTAGCAGGGAGAAAGAAAAAAGTTGGCAGGATTCCTACTTCCGGTCCTGTTGCAGGAAAGTAGGTTTGAGAAGCAATGTCCAATCAACAGAACAGCCCCAGACTATACACCACCTGGAATGATTTAGAGCAGCTCCTTTAAGTGATGCCAGGGGTTTCAGCCCCAACTTCATGGGAACTTAAAGACATATTTTCCTGAACATCTGGAGATTCTACTCTTAGTATCTTAGCACTAGATCTTAGTTTCATACAACAGTCCTGGTTTGTTTTGGCAACATCAACAGCAATAGCAGAAGATGTTATTTATATTTTAATATGGGAAAGGCAAAGTTTAGAAGTGATGCAAATGCAGCAGCTTCACTCAAAGTGGAAAAGGCATTAGATCAGCTTAGGTGCAACTAACTGCAGACTGTTATCAGTGAGGATTATTTCAGCATTTATAAATCCTACTATAACTTTGAATCTTAAGTGGACATTTGTTCACTCAGAAAAATGTTTTCCCTAATTTAGGACAACCCCTATAACCCAGATGCCTGCGCCTTTGGGATAAAAGTTAGGAGCAAGCTAATTATTAATTTGTCCACCTCTGTCTTTCCCGAAAAGCACAAGAAAGAAAACAAATAAAAAAAACACAGTTTACAAGAATGGTTATAAGACAGAAACTAGATGTTAAAAATTGACAGTACTGTATAAAATGTCAGAATGGTCCTATGTTTATTGTATCTACCCATTTCCATACCTAAATGCCATGTTTAGAAATATACAAAAATTGGGGTGTGTGTGTGTTTATACACACATACACACACTCATCAACCCTTATATACCCGAGACAGCTATTCGCTTCACCAACAGCCATGAAAAGTAGTAGAGAAACAATGATGTGATCACAGCAATGAGGGATAAGTTAGTGTTGTTATTCTTTCAACATATGAGTATTTGCCCTAGTCCTAGGAGTAATTGTTGAGTTTGTGGAAATGAATTAGATGAAGGATTATAGTACAATTTTTCTAGTATATGGTTAAAACACAGTGAGACACATCAACTGTTGGGCAAATGTGGACGTGTAGATACATATAGAAGAATAATTAGACCCTTGCTATACTTCTGTTAAGTTTGGTCCAGCCTTCTTTTATGATAAATATATTTGTGTTCTGTGTGTGTGTGTCGACACACACACACACAACTGAAATGCTCTTTTTCATATAAGAATTCTTGAAGGTTTTTTCAGAACCACATGTCTAGAACAGAAGTTAACTACATGTTTCAGTAGTAAAGAGGAATGCCTACTAAGTGCTCAAAAATCTTGAGAAAAGCTTGTCATATTCACAGTAAAGTGTGACATACACTTCACATTATAAAATATAAACAAGATTTGCATAGACAATTAGACTTGTTTAGACAATTAGACTTATTTTGATACTGAAAATAAAAATATATAATAGAATCTTTAGATTACAAAAATAGCAAACAAGCAAGATATTTTGAAATCTTCAGGCACAGGAGCCTTGTGGCATATTTTGGAAAGACTATGAAGTAGCATAGAGTTTTCCTCTTTGTTGAAATGTTTCAAATCCGACCCAGGATTTTACTGCCACACTCCTGCTCGTTGGTTCTTATTCCCAGTTTGTTCAAAAAACATGAAATCCTAAATGGGGGAGGAGGAACAACAAAACAATCATAAATTAGTGATTTCTGAAATACCATTTATACAACTCACAGCAATCTTTGTTATTTTGCAGATAGTTCAAGATAGTGTTTCTGTGTTTTGGATCAATTGATGCAATCTTCAAGGCTTAAAAGTTTCTTAGAAGATCTGTTTGTTAGTAATAAGGTCTAATAAATGGCTTCTGACCACACAGCTTTCAAAACAAAGCAGCCACAATTTCTGCTTTTCAGTTTACTATTTTTAAAGTGAAGTGGGGGTGGAGGAGGGACCTGAAGGAATCTGCATGACATGAAGCATCATTTATCAAAATTTACCTTAAAAATAAATAAATAAATAAATAAAATATATATATATATATATATATCCTTCTGTTCACAGAACGGTTACAATATACTCGTTCCTGCTTGATTTTGAGCCAAAGTAGACCAGTCATCCTGTCAATCATTAGTAGTGTGAAACACTATCCCTTATTTTATTCATTTTATTTTCCTTTTGAGACTGCATATTATTACCTTGACTGAGGAAGCAATCTTAAGAAAGAAAGGTGGATTTTCCCCAAATTGAAGAGTCAAGAGAGCAGGATGGAGGGTGGGGGAAAGTAGCTTTCCTACTGACGTGCTTTGGATAATTTTTCCTTTTGAAAGGCACTTGAATCTTTCGGTGTCAGATTTTTCTCTCTGCTCTGGATTTTTTTTCTTTCTTTTTTTTTTTTTTTTCCAAAGGGGGCTGTCTATTGCTTGAAAAAAAACAAACAAAACCCACACCACACGACACACTTTCTTATTGGTCATGCTGTGGTCTGCAGATCCATTACAGCAGTTTCCCTCCAAAACAAGAAGTAGGACTGTCCATTGTGTACAGGCTTCTAAAACAAAGTAACTATCCATTCTGACACTCCCTTACATGGGAATTGTAGCTTAAAGAATTCCTCCACTGACTAAAAATTAAGTGATCAACATATTGCATTTGTTGACTTTATATAGTGAAGGTCACTTGGCTACCTAGCAAGTCTCATGATAAGAGATACATCTCCTTCCTCTGAAACCAATTGCTGGGGCAGGTCTTTAACATGTAGATACCTGCCAGACATGCAGGTAAAGGCATGTTTGGATCTTATCAATTGTACTTTCTGCCCTGCCGTACACACATGGCAGGAAGCGTGATTGTGGGATTGAGCATCAGATCCCATCACAGCTTACTACTGGTGCAGGGGGAGCACACCCCACTGGGAGCCCAGGTCAGCTGAGGGGACTCTTCATCACAGGAGAGCCTGGTGCACCCCTTCAAGTGGGAGTCCCATCCACTGATTCAGATTCCCAGCCAAGGTGCTGTACCTGGCCACATATTCAATTAATGCCATCGAAGGAACCAACTGCCAAGTTACTAAACATTTTTTGTGGAACAACTTTGTGCTTATTCCTCGTTTTAGGATGCCATGAATTTCTTTAACATGTGGCCAGGTTACAACTTAAGATAAGATTAGCTGGCTAATCAGGTCTCAAGTGTATCATGTGGCTAAGGCCTTAATGAATGAAAGTATCTTTGCTTTGGAAATGAATGCTACAAATGGTCACAAGAACTTTTTGTCTTGTTAAGACTGGCCTGGCCATGTAAAACATGTGGGTCTTAATTAGATCTATTCCATATCCTGATAGCAAAGCTCCCTATTAAATCACAGAAAAATCTGACTATGGGTATAGGGAAAAAAATATCTATAGATATATAGATATATACAGTTACTTTAAACTGGAAGAGGAAGCTGCCTCTGCTCCTTGTGAATACACAGCAGCAGCTGTTCTGCTCTAACTGAGGTCTTTGTGAGCCTGTAACTATGCAGTGAGCTACGTACATACATCCCTGGATGAAGCAGGGTTAAAGCTGGAACAGTTCTGCTCCACTTGTATTGCTATAGAATCACTGTAGTTGTTATGTCTATGTGCCTTGTTTATTAGTGCTTTACAATTCCTGGTATAATGTGGGTCTCTCTGAAATGTAAAAACACATGCTTAAACTTTGAGCACAGGATCAATCCTGTGTCAGTTCAATGCATGTGCTATTGATGGGACTCTCACATTTTTACAAGTTGCTAAATTGTGACTTTAGTTAGTGCTATCCTTAATATTTGTATCTGCATGATAAAAATCACATACACAACATACCCATGAAAAGGTTCAATTTTTCAATTCCTTATTGATAACAAAGGAAGTACTATTATCGAAGGTGAACCATTGGCATTTCCCTCTCTGAACTGTTGCCTCCACTCCTTTTCTTTCATTATTCCTAATCAGTAGCACAAAACTATTACAGTGCTTTCAGAAAGTAATACGTGACCAAACTCTATGAGACTCCTGTGATATGGACTGGGCTAGAAGCATCCTTACATTAGCTTTCAGTGCAACAGATCAGCTTATGTAATTAGCATAACAGCCAAATGTATCCACCAAGCCTTAATTGATATTGCATCTTTATGGCACAGTAACAAAATGAGGCATCACAGGAACTAGTATCAACTAATAAGGCTATTCGCATATTTAAAAGCAGCCATTCATATTTAATTTAGTATTTCAGATTTCAAATATAAACCCATCACCTGAAAAATTAATTTGCCATGCTTTCTATAAGCTTCATCCTTTGTTCCACTGACTTCGGTGAGCCCAGGATTGACTCTTATACTAGTACAATTCAAATATATGGATAAAAAGTAAGTTTATATTTGGATATTAGAAAATTAGTGAATTACAGACTTACAATAAGGAAGCAAGCACCAATCATAACAGCTTTCATTTTAACATCAAGGTCCATTGGGAACTGGATTCCAAAATTATCAGCATCTGTAAATGCCTCTCTTACAAATCCAGTCCACTGCTTAGAAATTCTTCCAACTACATCTTCATTTGACTTCACCTGAAATAAAACAAGGTGTCAAAGTGCACCATTCAACATAAGAATTTCACATGTACTTCTAAAGCTTCATAAAAATTTCAATGGCATTTGTTTGTTTGTACACGTTACAGCACTTGATAAATTTGTCTGTGTCAGGAGTCAGCAATTATTATTATTTTAGCTGGCAATTATTTTAGCTGGCAGGCCACGTAATGAATTTTGGTGAGCTGTCAAGGCCTGCACACAAAATTTTTCACACGACATTTTAACAAACTATATGCACACACACACTAAACAGCAATCTTCTATTATAACTAGGGGTGCAACAATAAGAGATACTGATAGCCTATTTTTAACGAGTCATATTGACCAGTACTGATCCAGTTGCCAATATGCAGTCAGGCAGCTTGAAGACCAGTGTCCAGCTGGTAAGTCTGTTGTGGGGGAAAGGGCGTGGGGGAGGGGGGATGGACAGATAGAGGCCCCCATGGTGAAGGAGGGAGTAGGGCAGGGGCAGGCACTGCACAGCCAGGGTGGCGCATGGGACAGAGGCTTGGCTCTTGCTGCTACGCGCACCCCAGGAGGGCACGGGAGGCGTGTGCCCCTAGATCTGCATGCGGGATAAGGGTGGTCTGCTGCTGCGGGCTGGGGCCAGGGCAGCGCTGGACTGTTCCCAGCAGGGGTCTGGGCCGGGCTGCACTTAGGGTGGGCAGCAGCAGTGCTGGGAGGGGAGCTTCGGCAAAATTCGCTGTAGTCCCCCTCTCATCACTGCCGCCACCTGCACTGAACGCAGCCCTGGCCCAACCCCTCCGTCGGGAAGAGCCCAGCACCGCCTCAACCCACAGCAGCAGCCTGCCCTGCCACTACCCCATCCCGGCCCCCTCCAGACGAGCTACTCATGGCTCTGTCTCACACCATGCCCCACCCCAGCTGTGCAGTGCCTGCCCCAGCCCCAGCCCCTCCCTCACCACTGGGGCCCCAGTCTGCCCACCCCCCATGCCCCTTCCCCCACAACAGACTTACCAGCAGGACCCTGATGCTCTCCACGTTGCCAGGCTTTGATTTTGGCCCCCTGCACACTAAGCTATGGCTACACACATGCAGAGAGCATTTAAATTGGCCACATAAGCCAAAAAAAGCCGACTGTCAATGCTATCAATTTTCTGTATATCAATGCTGATCCAATATGGGACCAATGTATCGGTGCACCTCTAAATTACAATGTATTTTAATTTTATTTCAAGAAGTAATGTTTGTCCTTACTTATGTTTTTTGGAGTAGTTCATATAGAATCCATTGCAAACAGCTCAAAATGAAGTCTTACTTTTGAACATTGTGTGTGTAGATGTGGGGGACTGGGTATATCTGGTGGTTGTGCATACATATGTGTGTGGGGGAGCTGCCTGTGCACTTGGTCCCAGGAGCTGGGGGGGGGGTTGTTGGGCAAGTACCAAGAGAGGGAAGGCTGGGGGCTGCATGCAGAAGAGCTCACTTGGCTGATGTGGTGCAGATACAGGTCACCCCCTCCCCATCTGGCCCGTGGCTGTACCTGTGGCATTCTGCATGGGCCAAGCCCCAACCCATTCCTGTCTGGGGCAGCCTGCCTGCACCCATCACATTCCTACTGATGGCACCGCCCCAGCCACAGCCCTGGCCAGCAAGCAGTTTCTCATCAGGGCTGCCTTCAACTCACTCGGGCATCCCCAGGGGCCTACTCATTATGCTGGGCAGGCAGAGTGGGTGGAAGGTGGCCGGGAGCTGGAGCTAGAGCCCTGCACGTTGGCGGAACCCACCTTGCTGCAGCTTCCCTCCTGCTGAGCTGGGCATGTGCTGCCCAGTATGCGCCACCACAACTGCTGATGCTTCCCTATGCTAAAAGCTGCCTGGAGTGGTGCAGCAGGGGCAGGAGGAGGAAGAGGAGCTGCTGGAGATAGGGCAACTGAGCAGTACCCGAGCAGCTGCAGCAGCGGCAGTGGTAGCAGCCACGCCAGGAAGCTGTGTGCAATGGCTGGGGCCGTTGGTGGGAGCATGATGCAGGCTGTCCCAGGCAGGGATCAGCCCCATGCAGAATGCTGCACGGGCAGCCACAAGGCAGAATCAATCAACTGGTGAGCCTCATACCAGGCAGAAAGGTTGGCCCCTTGAAGGTATGACTGAAGGCATCTTCTCCCAATATCAAGCAACAGTCCACAGGAAATTAAAAGTTATACACCCTACCTTTCTGAAGTAGTGTAAACTACATGTCAATTATGTTAAAAAAAATCGTCAGTGTTCAATGCCATGCAATAGCCATTCCTCAAAACATGACAGTTTCTAAAATGTGCTTGTTTAGACTGATCTTGTAGACATTTATTGCTACTACATAGCTGCATTCTAAAAAGTCTGGATTATGAAACTAGAGTTCATTAAATTAATATAAAATTACAGGAATTGAAAATCACATCCACTTAAATGACCAAACAGGATCATCCTAACTCAGCTAGATGATTAAAACTAGTTCAAGAAAGCTATAATTTAAAACAAACTCAGTACGGTAGACATAGGGGAAAAACTGTCCTATCATATCCTACTGTAAAAACAAGTTACATATGTAAGTACATATATATAATTTACTATTTATTTCAACTGAATTAAAAGACAGATGACCTGTGTAACAATTTCAAAACATTCAACATGCATTCTAACCAGTGCACAACATTTTACTTCAACAGGATGGAACTGCTAAATTATCCAAATTATCCAAATAAATAATTCCATCTAAAAAAAGTCACTTTATTTTGATGAACCTGGAAGCCTGGATATTTATGATATCAAGATTAGTGTTTAAGATCTTTTTGTGTAATCAGTTGGATCAAAAACATTAAATTATTATAAATTGCAGTACAATGTAATGCAGAGATTATCTGACCATTTTCAAAATGAAACGAATTAGTTACAGACACTGAACTGTTATGACAACTATAACTGTAAACAGAAGAAAGATGAATACTTTACTACCTACCTCAAAATTAATATCTTCACAACAGCTGCATACAATGCATGGACCAGTGATTTTCAATACTTCCATCCTTTTCTCATTTTGAATAGTAAATTTAGGCACACAAGGGTCCCAGTCTTGGGTAATGTAGCCAACTGGGGTACCTGGAGGAGCCTGAACCTCAAGCTTCAAAACAGAAGGGGGCGGGGGGAAGGGAGGGAAATAAAAAGGACAAGCATTTGTATAAGTATTACGCCTGTGCAAAGCAGCAAATGTTTGATTCGGCTTTGGCCAATTTGGAGGGCCAGTGATTCAATTAGATTTGGAGATTCGGCCGCTGAGTCGGGCTGAATCTCCTCTGAATTGAACAGGTGGTGACAACTCCCCCAGCCCCCTGCATGGCTGCCCCACCCAGCCCCAGCATCCCAGCACTTAAAAAAAAGAAAAAAAAGAAAAAAAGAAGCCCTGCACTCACCAGCTACAGCAGTGGTGATCGGGGCCTCTTGGGGCTCGTTGCAGAGCCCCCCCCCCATGCAGCACGGGGGCAGTGGGTATTGCCCCCCCTCCCCCCACCTGGTACCCGCATAGCAGCTGTTGCATCATATGGGTGCAGTGCAGATAAGCAGGGTACCACGTACTGTCCCCAAGCTGGGACAGCTCCAGCAGTCACCCAGAGCCTGGAAGTACTCAGCCCAAGCAGCCCGAGCTCCTGGATAGCACATGGAGCCCCACCGTGCTCTGCTGAGCCATGCAGCACCTGCGTGATGCAACAGCTACTGCGTGGATGCTAGGCGAGGCGGGGGCGATCCCCACTGCCCCCTGCTGCAGTCAGGGGGGAGGGGGGGGGGAGCTCTGACAGGCCCCAGAGGCCTCATTCACCACTGCTCCAGCCAGTGAGTGCGGGCCTTATTTATTTATTTATTTATTTTTTTTAAGTGTCGAGACACCTGGGCCTGGCGGGGCTCCACCCATGGTCCCCTCCCTCAGCCCCCCCACCCCCCCCCTTCCAGCACAGAGCCCAGGTCCAGCTCCCTGCAGCTGCGAGTGGGGACTGCCCAAATCTCCGTATCGATTTGGACCTTTTAATGGGGCTCCCAATTCAATTCAGAGATTCAGCCCCTGAATCTCCTCCGAATCAAATCAGCTACCAAAGCTTCACACAGGCCTAATGAGTATGCCAGAATTTTTAATGTTCTTATAAAATTATCTTTGGTACAGACAAATATTGTGAGGAAACTTCCTTTAAAAAAAAAAAAAAAAATCAAGCAGATTCACCTGAAAGCACAAAGACTCAAACAGAACCAAAAGATACTGGACTAGTCAGACTATTTTTGTTAGTGATGTTTTCCAAATACATAAGAACTACAATTTTCACCTTAACATTATATTATTGTATACCCCAAGCTCACATTAAATTAACTGCAGATCATTTTATTAATCTGATTTAAGTTTGCCTGCTAAGACAGAACATGAAAAAGTAAAGAAAAGAAAAGAAATTCTGGGAGAAACAAAGCTTCGACAGATTGGAATTCAAAACAGAAAACAGCATATTACTGTACGTCTTTCAGTGGAAACTCTTAGTGAGGGCCTAGGAATGTGAAGATATTTTGAATTTTGGATTAAAAACTGTTGCTTCATTAGGGTTCAATCCTGAAAGCTGTTATGCATGAACTTTCCATGGATAATATTAAGTCAATGAAGAATACTTCAGTTTGCCTTCCAAGAACCACACATAGCATTAAGCCCTTAATTAGCATTATCTGACCAGGTTAGGAGTTCTATTAAAAAGGGATCACAGAAGTCATGACAGACACTGGAAGAAACACTGACAGACACACATACTTGATATTTCCCCAAAAGTTTCAGATGAAATCAGTCCTATTGTATCTCCCCTCTTGACACCAACAAAATCAAGCCCAAAAGAATTTAACACTAAAGAAAGACTTAGAAAGGAACAACTCACCTCTTGCAAACAGCAAGGACAACAGCAAGAAGAGCACCTGAGAGGTCTTTGCAATGTGATCACTTCTTGCCCTATATTATCAAAAATCTTAATGGTGAAAGGTCGCGATGGTCCACAACAATTGCGAGTACAGCAATCATTCTCTTCTGCTGCAAAGTATACCCTTTGTCCCATGGCATTTTTTATTTCATATTTGTTGTTTGTTTCAAAACCAGTAATAACTGAAAAGTAAAACAGTTTAGTTAAGTTTGTGCTGAGTGATTCTATCAATGTAAACACCAAAAGTAGCATAACCCCAGTCAGAATCTGGAAACCACTGTGCTAATCTCTAGAGAAATTTATGTGAAGATTCAAGCCTTTTTACTGAAGAGTTTACAATCCAAAAAGAATACTGCCTTAGAAGTGAAAAGGGGGACAATATTGCATAATTTTGTATGCATTTGTGATGTTTCTTTATATTATGAATAACCTGCTAACTATTCTCTCCACTGCTCAGTCTAAACTGACTAATTTCTGTTACATTATGGCACAGTTGACTCACATTATATAAGACCTTTTCTGTCTTGAGAAAGGCAAGCTAAAAAGTGAGCAGATATGTCTGGCACCAAGGTAGTGGCAGCAAGGAGCCAGAAAACAAAAACAGATAACTAGGGAGGACCAGCATTGTGAATGGCCCTGAAGGAAGAACAAGAAGCCTTAAACTGATATGGGGAGAAAGCAGAGGGATCCAAAGAGAGAGAAAATACCATCAGAGCTGCAGACCACAAAGCTCCATTTTGAAAAGAGGCAAAAGGAAAAATTTTGGGGTAGGGAAGCCAAAGAGTAATCACAGTAAGTGATATAATAGGCAGTGCTCATCTGGACAAGAATGGGAGGCAGCTGGGGGAGGGTGGGGATGAGGGAGGCAGGTGGGAGGCGGTGCTGAACAAAAGTGGATACAGTCTTAGAAGTGATATGGAAAGAAAACTTAGGGATATAATCTGGTTGCATAGGGTAATAAAGAAGCAGTCCAAAGCAACATCCATTAAAAAAAAGTCATGAGTGATAAGAGAACCTAGATGTGATAAAAAATAAGAGAACACGAGTACCAAGAAGTTGGAGGAAAAAACAAGTTCATTTAAAATTAACTGCAAGACATCCAGATGTCAGGCCAAATTATGAGACAAGTCTGAAACGGAAAGGGACATCTCTAAAGAAACAGTTATAACTATGTGAATAAATTAGATCATAGATATATATTATACAGATAGCATCATTATACTAATTATTTACTGCATTTAATTAATTGTACTTCTAAATTTGAGATACTCAAAAAAGCAACTTCAAAAGTACAACTCTACTCTGTTCCTCTTCTACTGCTGTTGTCCCCTGAACATACTATAATGCAGAATTAATGAAGATATGCAATTAATAAATTACATTAAAATTAATAAAGGCTCTTTCTTTTAAAAGAAATGCCAACAAAGAATTTTTTTCATTAACTCAGGCTAAAGTTTAACAATCATGTGTGGTTACTAGATGATGGACCAGAGCAGTTTAAGACTGTGCTAATTGAAAAACTGGTACATACTTTCCAGAAGCTCAATCTGCTGATGAATTAATATCTGGTCAATCTGTTAGTGATTAAAAAAAACAGATTAGAATGAGAAGTGGAAGATAAAAATAGGAAAACAAAATATTTCTTTTTTGCTTCAGAAAAAATTATATTTCAGAATGAAAATCTGTGAATCAATCAGTATTTGCACGGTCAGATTCTCTGGCAGTTGCCACATGGAATTGATCTCACACATACCCAACCCACCCATGCAGACCAACTTAAAAGCTATTCCTGGAAAAAGACTTCAAAATTTCAAACATTCAGACTCTGGTTTTGAGAGTTGTTATGGACTGGGGGACTTCTACAGAGGGCTGGAGCTGCAACACTTTCCTTCCCCCTACTGGCAAAACAATATTTTGGATTGTAGCTGGGACTAAGATATTGCTTCAGGATTTACTAAATCTTTCTGAAAAACAAAATTCTGCTGAACTGTTGCAGGAAAGCAAGTACCAATGTGGTGAAAGTATTAATCTCCAGTTTCTTATGTCTATTTGAAAATATCTGGAGGATGAAATATTAGTTATTAAAAAATGGCATGGCAAAAGGCATGAAGTCTGACTATATTACCACTGCCACATTACAATATGAGCTCTTGCCCCAGTACACCATCCTTCCAAGAACTGCTGTTTACAACATAAAGATACATAACGGTGCAGTCTCTATAGTCATTCCAGCGGGGGGGGTGGGGGGGGGTCCTCTAAATTTGCTCCTGCCTAGCAAGGAGCAAATTAAAAAGAAACCAGAGCATATGACTCATGTCCTAAAACTGAGTCTGTAACATTACAAAATGAGCTACTGAAAAGCCACAAAATGGTAAATTCTTTCAGTTACAATGGGTCTGGTATAATTCTGACAACTGACCCATGTGCAAAAGATGTAAATGCACTCCTCTCCTTCCCTCCAAAAGAAAAACCACACGTGATCCTGTGAGCCACCAGTTCCCACTAGATTAAACATGTCAAGTTACCCAGTAGCTTTGCTTTTTCTGATCAGAGTAAAGTGAAGAATATAAATACCTGACTTAAGTATTCTAATCCAGGAGGACAGTTGAGAGGAGGGGGTGGTGCTGGCATCCAGGGTGCCCCACCAGGCCCAACAGGCTGATTTTGGACTGGGGGCACCCCAGGTGCATATGGAGTTCCTACTGGGTGGCCCTGGAAGACATAGTTAGCTTGTCCAGGAGCACCTAGTTTATGGGAAGAGCAAAATAAAACCGGAATAAAATTCTGAAAAATAGATATTAAAAAGAAAAGTGTAAATGTATCATGACAAAAAAAAAAAAAATCACTGCAATCCCAGAGCTTCAGCATCAATGTCAAGATGTGACTTAAATATTGTGGACTCTTGACTGATAATGACATTAGCTCCTATCTTTCTAGCTGTCTGCAGCATGAATAGAGAATTTTTTTCCACACTGTTTTATTCCAAACTGGTTTGAAGAAGGGGGAGGAGGAGGGTGGGGAGGGAGGAAAGAGAGACGCTTTTCTTTTGACTTTTTAAACCTTTATTGCATAAATATTAAAAAGAAATTGGTAAAAGTGCAAAGGTATGTGGTCCTCTCAGGGGTTGAACATGAAACACTTGTTAGCAACAAAAAACCACCATATCACCAGAGACTGAAACCTCTTCCTCCATGCCCCTCATGGCATTGAGCATGTAGGACCAGCTGTCCATCTTCCACCTTGCAGAGGGAAAG